CACAAAAATGATGTGCTTTTATTTTAAATTGACAATTTTCACATGACAATTCAGTGCAATGATTCCAAAGAAGTAAACCAAAATTTTAGCTGATTAAACATTCTCAGTTGTGGCAAGAACAGTGTCGGCAGACTCCAAGTGCAATTTAAGGCAGCATCTTCAAGGTCTTAGTGTATGGTTAATGTCCTGATGCATCTGCAGGGTTGGATATTTTAAACCCTACAAAGCAGAGGCTGTAAGTTGGTAGAGAAATGGCCAGACCAAAATCAGGAAGCAGCCTGAGTGCAAGGTTGACTCTTGGAGGATTTTCAAGTGCTATGAGAGAGAGGAACACTCTTGAATATAGAGCTTAGCAACAGTCTCAAGGGGATCCCCCTGGGGATCCAGTCTTCTGTGGAAATAGGAAGATGGCATGAACTTTGAAGCAGGAAAAAAGACTGAGTAGCAGAGGCCACGGTATGGGAGCTCGGATGATTCTCACTCCCGTCCCAGGCATTTGTCTGCCTTTTGTCCACTCCTGCCTCCTATCTCTGTCTTCTGTCTTCACCATAGCTCTGTCCTCTCTTCTACACAGTGCCAGTGGCTTCTAAGCCCTCCCCCACTGTCCTTTCTTAAAACCTAATTTTCTGATGGAACCAACTCCAAAGGGTCCAATTAGTGCTGGGCTAAGCAATAAAGAAGAAAACAATAAAGAGACAGACTCAAGCTGTCTTTTAGCCATCCTAGTCTGGGTCACCCTTATCCACGTAAATGCAAGTCATCTCAAAAGCCGTGAATGTCACTGATGAAAAGGAACACTCTCGTGCTGTCGAGGACAGCAAGTTGGGAGGCAGGTGGCAGCCCGGCAGATGAGGTTTTATAACCCTAAATCACACCACATGAGCTCCTCCTCCAAGCACCCCAAGTTCCCACATCTCTGGTGTTTGTGCTTGGAGATACACTGCCCATCCTTACTCCTCACTGGCTCTGCAGCAAGTTTCAGGCTGGCCATTCGGGATAAAAGGGGGTTTTCAAGGCACTCATAGTGCTGTGAGAGAAGCAGGCAGCTTCACAACTTACACCAAATGTGTGTATGTGCATGCGTGTTTGTGTGCATAGGGGGGATTTCCTCATACAACGAGAAACTAAAAGACCCAGAGACCGAGAGAATCAAGTTTGAGCAGATTGGACAAAGCTATTGAATTTCAATGGTCAGAAAAGGAAAACTTCAAGTCTTGGACACTATGCCCAGGTGTTTAGAGGATTGACAGAGTTATTGGTTTTTGGTTTTTGTGTTGTTGTGTTTTTAGTGTGTAAAAGACACTAAATCTGAGATAGAAGCTTTCTGAATACTATTCTGCCAAGCACCTTGCAAGAGAGGGTTCTGCATCCCCACTTTATAGATGTGAAAACTGAGGCTCAGGGGATTAATTCATCTGTCTAATATCATCTAATGAGGGAGTGATAGAAGCAAGATACAAAGTCAAGTTTCTCTGGCAACTGAACACAAATTTTACTTTACAGGACAGGAGAAAAATCTAAACTGTCTATGTCAAAAAAAAACAAAACAAAGCAAAACAAACAACAAAGAAAAAACAAGGATACCCCCCAGGATTGTATGCAAGTACATACACCAAGCCAGACACTGTTGGATGCTCTTCTCACAACTCAAGGCCAGCCCAAGCAAGACAGCAGAGCCCTGAGGGCCCACAGATCAACCTGGAATTGTGCAAGGAAACACGGGCATGCCTGAGGCAGAGGCATAACTTTTTGGGAAGGGCCAGCCAGGAAGGTTCCTAGAAAAGCACACACACAATCAAGCTGAGGAAGACCTTCTAACCATAAGGCAAAGGTGACCAGGGATAAATGCAGGCCAGAGTCTAGCTAACTCAGTGCTGAGAACTGTTTGGTCCCTTGTGTCTCAGTTGGAGAAGAGACTCTCTATTCACCATCACCACAGGAGTCCACATCACCCTCCAGGATGGCTACTGCAACGTATAACACTGCGCGGTATTCAGAGGTGGTGTTGAGTCTGTGGGTGAAAGAGTGAGGCTGCTTCCTGGAGTCAGAAAGCTGGTTTCCACAGACACAAGTGAACTGATTCTCCACACACAGGCCTGCTTGCACACTCATTAGGGTAGCAACTGCTGGTCTATACTCCAGGACTGTGCTGAATGACCTGTCTGCTGGGAGTCTGGCAACTAGAGAGAGAATGAATATGAGCCCTTGAGGTTGTGAGAGCACGAGAATTTTATTGTGTAATCCTTCAGGTGACTGTTTGGAGTTCATTGTCTTTCTCTTGGATAAGTTGTGCCTTTCTCTAGAATAGTTTCCAATGTATATAACCTGGTCTCTTCAAGGAATCCAAGAAGAGGTGGTCTATTTTTTTTTGCCTATCCTAGGGACAAGAGGGTGAAGAAACAGGTCCTAACTGTCCAATCACTGTGTTATTTCTGATATTGGTTGTCAAGAAAGCTCAACATTCAGTGAAAACCCCCAACAGTGTCAGCTTCTGGGTCCCCTGCAGCAAGAAGCAAACAATATGAAGGCAGAACACATTGCTATACAGACACACCATCTTACAGGGGTCCACGGCCAAAAGAGCACTTGCAAACAGTTGCCCAGAGGGTGTGTAGTGTAACTCAGAGAGTATACAACTCAGCTAAGTAGCTGCATGTAAGCTCCCAGCTGTCTGTCTTCTACCTCCGCACTCGGAGGTGCATTGAGAAAGAAAGGTATCTCTTTCACACAGGCCTTCCTGGGTCTTCTCGTTCTTGATGATGGGAATAGAAATTATAGGGACCTTAAAAAAAGAGTCATATCAGAGCCAGGATGTGTTACAGAGAAAACACAGTTTTATTGTCCCTCCCAAATATTCCTCAGGGATTATATGATTTAGCAATGTAAACTTCAAGTGTACTGAAATAAGGAATGTCTGCCCTGTGAATAGTAACTAAACTGTTATTTTAAAAATATGTCTGCTGTGACCAAATAGTACTTGCCTCAAAATAAATAAATAAATAACAAACCGTGCTCTTTGCATCCCCCTAGTGGCTGGACGGGGAATGACAAGAAGAATTCAGAGAGTAGTTCCCATCCTCAACGCTAATAAAACTTTTAGAGTAGAATGACAAACTGCTTGCCTTTAAACTATGAAATGGATATGTTCTAAGTGAAGAAAAATGAAAGATGTGAGTTATAATAAATAAATATGTATTATATATAATATATAATAATATAATGTGAATAAGATATATATTCACATACTCTAGATCAGTGAAAGCCTGCATTATTGTTGATTACTTTCTCTCCCTAGCCTCTGATTTCCCATTCTTACCAAACAACTCAGCAACGTGTTGCACACAAGGAGTTCTCTCCCCAAATTACATCTTCCTTAGTCTTTACTTACTGTGGGCTCCCTATCTTTGTAGACAAGTGCTTATAAATATGCCACTTTGCACCAAAGTGGTAGATAACCTTGGAAGACAAGACATCTGCCTGCCTATCAAAGTGTCTGTACCTGGAAGGAGAGCAAACCATTCGGGAGGTCCTTGTACTTTTGTTCATATTTCACCAGAATAACAGCTTATAGATTGCATTGATCCCTTCATACAGACACCCCTTTGCCATGCCACTTTTTAAAACACATTTTCGTGATGGTCTTTTCTCTGCCTAAAAAGAAGAAAGTCCTTGTTAAGGAATGGTGGGGGTGAATGTTAGGAGGACGCTTGTGTATTAAACTTTCCATATTATGCCACCAAAAAATTAATAAATGAAAACGAATAGAAATACCTCCTGTCTCAAATGCATCACTTGCAAAGACAAGAAGGGCACTTTTCAAAGCCCAGACAAGGCAAATGCCCTGTTTCCCCAATCTCCAGAGAACAGTCTGCTGTGCGCTCCTCCCCTGGTCTGCTAGCAACCCTCTAAATCAGGCTGCCTCTAGTTGTTAATCTTTTTCCAACAAGGACAAACCCTCTGTCTTCAAATTATCGCCAGGCATGATTCCAAGGACCACATATCCCCCTCACCTTCACCTGGCAGGAACCAAACACATGCCCTGCACATCAACAGCACAGAGAATCAACAAGTTACCACTTAAGCCCTTAAGCCTAGCGCTCCATCCAGAAATCAGCCAGTGCCTCGCCTGAGTCCACCACCAACCACCCAATCCTGCTGCTCCTGCTTTGCCTCCCAACCTCTGGCTACAGCATGACCTTCTGTTCCAGACCCGCCCTCCAGACACCCGCCGGCTCCTCAGCATGCCTTCCTCCCAGCGCTCCCAGGCTGCTGTCAAAGTCTGGGGCTCGCCGGCTACTAGGCTCCCCCTGATAGCGCCAGCGTTCTTGAGAATCTTAGAGGGTTGGAGAGGTCAAGATCAATTAGAAAGACCAGAGAAGAGCTCCGGACATGGAGACTCGGACCTCCGAAGAAAAGAGGAGAGAGTGATTGCAGTAGGGACCATCACATCCCGCGCTTCTTCCGGACTCTGCCCTCTTGAGGGTGTGCGTTCCCAGGAGAGCCAGAGCCCGCGCTGCAGAGCGCCCGGGTGCGGGTGCAGACAAGGCTTTCAGAAGCCTACAAGTTCCCACGCCATCCCCAAGCTTGAGTACCAATCCATCTCGGCTCGCTCCTCTGAAAATGTCCCTGATTCTTGCCCGCAGGGCAGTAACAGACAGACACCTGCCTCCCCTCCCCCGGTACAGCGCCCAAGCCGGGCCCTGCTCCAAGCATCCCTGAGCCGAGTCCGCGATGCTCCCACCCAGCACACAGGGACCCCAAAGTTCTCTGCACTCCATAGACCTCGCCTTCTCCTTGGCGCCAGGACCCCGCCCAGAGATTGGGCTGGAAAACCTCAAGGGTCCACAGCTAAGGGCGCTGACTTCGGGGACCGTGCGCGCAGAAACCGAAGCTGCCACAAGAAAGGGTGGGTACCGCACGCGTTAAGTCCGCGGTCTGCAACCTCAAGCCCGCCCTGCCTGCCTCCCTCCCGGGGAGGAAGAAACTTCCCCAGCACCCACCTTTCGCCGCGAGGAGGCGGCGCCGCCGGCTGTCCCCGCCGTCGCCACTACCGCCGCCGCTCCCCACGCCCAGCGCCAGCAGGAGCGGCACCAAGCACAGCCTCCCCGGCAGCATCCTCGCCGCCTGAGCCTCCACCGAGCTGCCGCCGCCGCCGCCTACCGCCCGCGCCGGCCTCGCCTGCGGGTGTCCGCCGGTGCCCGCCGCCCCGCGGGTCGCCTCTCTGTAGCCGCTGGGTACGCTTCAGGCGCCGCCGCCGCCCTCACCCGCTGCCTCCGCTGCCCTCCGCCGCGCCGCTCGCTCGCCGGCAACAGCAGCACTCACTGGCGCGGACCCGGAGCGGCTCCGGCGCTCACCCCGGGACGGCCCGTGACGTCACGGAGGGAGGGAGGGAGGTGGCTCGTGAATATTCATGAGACGCGGACACTGGCGCGGGGTTGCGAGCTCCACAGCCCCGCAGCTCCGGCCCCCAACTTTCCATAGCCATCCCCAAAGCCTCGCACTCCCGTGATCCCCGGGGTCAGGTGCTGGCTCCCGAAAGACCCTAGAGGGTGGCTCCAAGGAGCCTTAGGGCCTGTACCCTGCGACTCTCCAAACTGCAGCTGCGAGTACCGTGAGCTTCTCCAAAAAGTAATCACCCGCGGCCTGATGATCTTCTGTAGAGATGCAGGCGACCCTATCCTGAGGCGCCCTTCCACCCTGCGGAGGGGGCAGGATGCTGTCTCTGCGGGCCCTGCCCTTGGCTGTGGTCTAGGGATGGACGCTCTATGCAGCCTGGTCTGGGGAGGGCGCCAGGCGCTCGCTAGAGCTGCAAAGCGCCAGTGCCTCTAGGAGTTGTAGGGCAGAGATCGCCTAGCACCTGCATGGCAATGCCCGGCTCTGCGCCATCTCAGCTACTGCTCCGAGTCAGGGACTAGCTAAGTCGAAAAGGCGACCTTCAGTCTGCAGTGGGAACCCCATTCAAACTTCCCCCTCAGAAGTTGCCACCTTTTTGCCACTGCCTCTGTAAGAACATGCCATGCCTTCTAAAATCTCAGGACAGGGAACATCGTCACTGGAGGACGGGTTCACACTGTTCTCCACACCCTCAACCACATTCGGGCTTCAAGAGGACCAAGACTGTTCCCAGCAAAATCAGCTAATGGCTCAGAATAAGTCCCTGGCTGTATTTCCATAGATGTAATATTTTCTCACAATTCAAGGGTCATACGTAGTTGAGAAATGAAGTAAACAGAAAAACACAGAAACAAATTTATTCCTTTGTTCACCACTCATTCAAGACATTTCCTGAACGCTAAGCATGCTGTGAATAAATCCTGGGTTAGGCGATGAAGGGCACAGAGGCTTTGATCCTCTCTGAGAAGCCAAGGAAGGGGGTGGAAGCAGTTAAGAGCCCACATGTTATGGTCCTGCACATTCTTTATGTTGCTCGATATGAGCCTATACAAATTAATTAGCCAAATGTGTATATTGCAACAGTGACTAAACAGCATCTCATAATTAATAAGTGTGGTTTAGAGCACACAACCAAGCCATAAAATGCATTAGGAACCTTCTGCTGCCTCCCCGTGTGGTCCTGGCTGCACATGCTGGGCCCTGTGGTGGTGAAAGCAGACACTTGAGCGTTTGAGGTAACAAGAGGCGCTTGCAAACAGCTGCAAAACCCGGTGGCTGCACGGGCTCTCAGAATACTCAATGCTCTTCACCTGCAGGTCCCCCTGAGAACACCATGCAACACCTGCCCAATGGTTCCCGTTTCATACAGGTGGGAAATGGGGACTTAGGAAAGTTAGGAAAGGTCTCTGTCTTGCCTGAGGTACAGAGCTGGCAAGTGCCAAGCCAGCTTCAAGACCTCACCCTTTTCAGATTTTAAAGTCATAATCCAGAAAGAATGACCTGCAGAAGTGGATGCTAACGATGGAGTCAGAGGAGTCAGCGGACGAGAAAAAGTTGACTAGTCTTTTATTTGTGCTCCATCCGGTTCAGCTGATATTTACTTCCCTTGTTTACTCGAATAAGAACCTCCTTGTTGATTAAACACTCTCTCTTGAGGAACTTATACAGACTTTTGTTAGAAATCAACTGGTCCCAAATATTTGACATGAAGTTTCAAATTCAGAACAAATAATGAGAAGTAGGACATAGAACTAATTACCAAACATCCCCAAGCAGGAAATGGCCAGGAAAGAACACTACAGGGGAACACAGTGAGTAGGGATAGGGCACTTAGAAACAGGCACAACATGGCTGCCATCCATCTCGCCTCCTTGTCAAGGAGGGGTAGGAATATTTTGCTAGATCAAGTGCTGCAGGAGTTTTAACTAAACATGCTGTTTAGTCATGCCTCTCTGGACTTGTTCCCTGTGGTGATGCTCTGCTAATCCAAGTCTGAGCTTGGCTGTGTGGTTTGCTTTGGCCAGAATAGTAGCAGGCTTAACATTTTTTTCTTTTCTTGGACTCCTGCCACTGCCATGAGAAGAAACTCATGCTGAACCTGCAGGAGGGTCAGAGAGCAACACGGGGCAGAGCTAAGCTGTCCCAGCCAGCCAATGCCTCTTACTTGGTCAGCACAAATGATCCACAAGTTGACCCCAGACACATGAGCAAGCTCAGGCAAGATCAGCCAAACCTGGCCCACATCAGAACTATCCAACCCACAGGTGAGAAATATAAATAGTTGTTCCATTAAGTCACTGTGTTTGAGAGTAATTGATTAAGCAATATTATATCCACTGCATAAGGTCAGTACAAGAAGTGAAAAATGAATATGAGACACTCAGTATGGCTGTGCATGGTCAGTGTTTAACAAATATAAAAGAAAAAAAATCTCCTTCTTCACCTACTTTCCAAGTCTCTGAAATCCCTGTCACAGCCATGACTTGGTTTGCTTGGGTGGGGGAAAAGACAAAATGACCCGGGTTAGAGTAAATGAAAGTAAGAGAATTTATCTTAGAAATCCTCAGACCACAAGAACTTCCAGCCATGCCATTTGTACAACACACCACTATGCTGTGCACTTCTGCTGGGCCACTCCAGATACAATAATTGCATTGAGCAACCAGTAGCCAATGGATCCCATTCTCCCAGCGCTAGACTGGATAATGGAGGTCATATATTTCATGGGTCCTTTAATTCTCACAACAGCAGTTGCTATTTCCCATTTTATTGTGATCAGACTTCTACCTCCTCAAGTTTGAATAACTTACCAACATTCACATAATTGTGCAAAATATCAATTCACATCTGCCGAATTCCACATTTCATCTTTCCCTGAAGCGTGATGGTTTCAGGGAGAGGCACAGGGGATGAATAAGCAATGAAAAATAGGTTCAGATCAGAAAGGCAGCTTTGGGGTTTGGCCTTTACCATCATTATCCTTCATCACCACTGAGCAATGACCATTCAAATAACCAATTATCACCAAAGTGGTGATTCACATCTCTGAGTTTGTTGAGGCCACACGGTTATCCTCGACTCTTGTTCTTTTAAAGGCCCCTCTCAAAATATCATGAGCAGGATGATGTAAGGCCTTGGCTGCTAAAGGCCTCAAGTCCCAGGCCCCACCTGCAAGGCAATAGTGAATCTCAGGCAATTCATCTGGGTCAATAGTTTTAATAAATAAATAACTCCTCTGTTCCAGAAAATAGAATCTAACAGGAACAGATCTTTCACATAAACACAGCAGCTCCCTCATTTTCACCAGGGTCATTAATGCTTTGCCCAATTAAGGTCCAAAACACAACCCCTGAATAATTTAAACTGAATAAATGAAGAAAATAAATAAATTATACCTACTTATGGAAACTGATTTTTTAAAAGGAAATTAAATGGAAACGTTCCATGTGACCGATGTTTAATTCAACTAAGAGTAGCTAACTTTCAAAGAAAGGGTGGAAAACTGATGTTTAAAAAAAGTTAGACCCACATATGTTTCCCCAACCCCATCTCTGCAGGGAAAACAGGGGCTCTATGGCCCTAGAGCAACTATCACTCTGTGGCCCTAGAGTATATTGCTGAGTTTTTCACATTGCTCTGAAAATTTTGACACAAAAGTAGATGTCACTGCTTCAGTAGAAATTTGTGTTTGGTTGGTTGACTAGTTGGTTGATTGGTTGGTTAGCTGGTTTTGTGTGGAGAGCCTGGGAAGCCTTGAATAAGTGTGTAAAGAAAGGATGAAGTCTTGGATTAATGTATATTGTTGACATGGGCACAGTCATGTCAAAGACCTAATACCTCAAACCCATGGGAATGGAACCCCCCCCCACCAGGCAGGACAAGGCTCAGAGGGATGATTCTGGTCTGAGTCAAATGTTGGCAGTATGTGAAAAAAATCTAGCAACTGTGACTTCCTCCTCCCAGATGTCTACAGCCAGAGACCGCTGCCTACAGACACCTGCTAACTCCGTCCCTGTACACTGAGGGTCTAGGTTATTGAGTAGTCAGCGCCATGCCATCAGAGTGCATATGGCCCCAGGTTTTCTGTATATGTGTCTGTGTGTCTGTCCTTTCTTCATTATGCTGTCACCCCAGTCAGGTCAAGTTTCACCAGTGCTGAGCACAGAAGTTTGGGTTAGGTTTGTTTGTTTTTGTTTTTGACAATGTATTTATTTTTAAACAGAAGTAAGAAATAATTCTTTGAAACCTAATCCAGTTCATGTTCACTGCTGTTTGGGATTTGATATTTTATGCTCAGCAAGGAAGAATGCTGTGATACAAAAAAAAAGAAAGAAAGAAAAAAGAAAAGAAAACCAGATATCACTTATTACAGTGAGACATTATTAAAATAAAACCAGATATAACTCATTACAGTGAGACATTATTCCTAAACATTGTCCCACGTATATGTGTCTATATGGGCATACAAACATACATAAATAGATAGATAGATAGATAGATACATACATACATACATACATACATACATACATACATACATACATAGGTACATAGGTACATAGATAGATACATAGATAGTTAGAGATCCATCCTGGGGTAGTCTCTGTGAAAACAGCCATATAATTCAGCAACACTACTTCCATTGTAAGACAGAATCTCGGTCTCCTTCCTTTGAATCTGAGCACTGACTTCAGTATCAGTGACATTATGTGACTTTCCAGTGCCAATCATAATAGCTTCTGCTTTGTTTGCTAGGATACTTATGTATGAAGGTTGGAGCTTACTTGTGAGAAGCCCAGCTACCTGAGACAACTATGTGGGGGCATTGCAGGCATTTGAAAAGGCTTCACGACATAACGTTGATAGTCTGAGTTAAATCCAACATTTGAGTAAGCCCAGAACCTCCAGATAATCTATTTGCTAGCTGTAAAGTGA